ATATACCCTAGGAAGGCATAGTCACATAAACAAGTCTAGAAATTGAGTACCATCTCTTTTGGGATGAGGTAGTTTCTTGAATTCACAATTTTAATTGCCTACTCCCAATATATTTTTTAATTTGTATAAAAATCTATGTAAATAAACCCTAGAAAATACCCTTTTATTCTAAAGAAGGTGTTCTTAACCTGGGGCCCATAGACCCACCTCAAGTGGTCCATGGATAGATTTTATGACATATTTTATTTCCATACAAAATGGCTCAGTGGATAGAGTTCTGGACCTGAGTCAGGAAGACCTGATTTCAAATTTGACACTTGGCAAGTCCCTTAATATTTATATATCTCAGTTTCCTCATCTGTAAAATGGGGATAATAATAGCACCTACCTCCCAGGGTTATTTTGAGGATAAAATGAGATAATGTTTGTAAAATACAATTCGCTATATAAAAACTAGCTTTTCCATTAGATTGTGAGCTCCTTGAGGGCACAGACTATCTTTTACTTCTTTTTGTATCCCCAGCACTTGGCACATAGTAGGTGCTTAATAAAAACTGATTGATTCTTTTTGTAATCCTAGGTATTTTATTTTATGGACTTAAGAACATTATTATGAGCAGTGGTCCATAGGCTTGACTAGACTACCAAAAGGGTCCGTGGTACCAAAAAAGTGAAGAACCTTTGGTCTCAAGTTTCTTAGGGGCTAAGATAATAAGGGAAAGAAGGAAGTAGACACTAGAACCAGGCGATTCCGTTTTCTCCCTTGTAATGAGAGGGAGTTGGAATAGACTGTCTCTAAGGTCTTTTCCACCTTTGCTATAAACCAAGGGAATCATGTTGTTTTAAGGAATCAGAAATCTAGGGGTCTCTGGGCCATGAGAGGAGATTTAAAAAATAGAAGGCAATAGCCCTCTGGCCAAAGGCAAAGATTCTCTGGACTGGTTCCAACAAAAGGAACCAAGACCCTAGACCTTTTTTTCATCTTCTTGGGCAGTGCTTTGATACCTTAATGGAGCATCATTTGTTCTTTCTTCCCAGGATGCTTAGTGCCTGGAGTGGGGGGAGGGGGGAGGTGAAGAGATTCTGAATGGATAAGCATGTAACCTTGGGTTTTCAAAAAGAACACTGGGAGGAAGAAGAAGAGGAGGTCATATTCCAGGAAGAATAACATAGCAACCTACACACTGGGACACAGCCCGTTTTGTGTTCATCTATGGAAAGTCTTATACCCTATCTCTGATCATAATTGCCTGGGACCAAAAGTTGGCCATATGATAGAAGATGGTGTGTTGAGAAGGTGACAATCTTATACTAATTATGAATAAAACTTTTGCCATAATTTTCATAATCTACTTATGTTGTTTTCCATTATGATGGGAAGTCTAACTGGTTTAAACCAATGGCTAACTGGATCTAGGAAGAAGGAGTTTTCTGAAGCGGGATGAGGCCTGAGTCAATGAGTTAACTACATCATTTGGTAATAAGTTGAGAAGACTATAGCCCCCAAGACCATGTCACATGCTTATTACATAGTCTAAGACTAAGGCTTGCATCCTTCATGAAAACAGTATAGTTCTATCACCTACCAAAATTAATAATAGTCTAGTCCATGAAAAATTTTCCACATAACTATTTTAGATTTCTTGTCCCAGACAAGTCTTATATTTATAATACTCTAGTAAAATATTTAAACAATTGAATCAAAAGGGCCAAAGGAATTTTCAACTTTAAGCCACTTATTCAAATTTAATCCAGATCAGTAGTGCTGTAAATGGTTATCATTTGAGGCTATTCGATTATATAAAAGTAGCTGTTATTCTGGACCAGCTGTTGAACAGCTGACAGTGAAGTGAATAACTTCAACCAAAAGGAAAAAGGGGGAATGCAGGGACCCTCAAAATGTATTGCTCACTACTGGCCAAAGATCTGAGTTTGAAAACAGCTTGCTCTAGTTCTTAAAAACAAATAACACAGTCCTTCCATATACCTGCCCTCACCATATACCTCCTTTACTGCCAAATAAGTGTGGGGGCATGGTCCCTTTTGTGCCTGTCACCCAGACATCAAACTGTCCTCACAGTTAAGCAGCAGCAGCCGTACTAAAAGAAGAACGATTTTCTGGCTGGGAAACATTTCTAAAAAAGTGAGCCTAAGATCCTGGAGACCTATTCATTACGATACAAGGGTACCATTTTTAAAATAAAATCTCATTGCCCACGTGAGAGACAGTAGGTGAAAAACATTAAGCTAGGTTAAAAAGTAAAGGATTGGAAAAGCAGTGATGGTTTGGAACAAAGTGATTTGATTTCTATTTCTGGTATTACTTTTGCCATTCAATAGTTTTTCAGTTGTGTCTGGCTGTCTATGTCCTCATTTGAGGTTTTCTCGGCAAAGATACTGAAGTGGTTTGCCATTTCCCTCTCCAGCTCATTTCACAGATGAGGAAACTGAGGCAAACAGGATTAAGTGACTTGCTCAGGGTCACATAGCTAGGAAGTATCTGAGGCCAGATTTGAACTCGGGAAGTTGAGTCTCCCTGACTCCAGGATCGATCCTCTATGCACTGTGCCTCCTAGCTGCCTTCTGGTATCACTACATTCTAGTTATATGACCTTAAGTAAATCATATAACCTTAGTAGACCTGTTGTCTTATGTGTAAAAAGAAGGTGCTAGACTAGATAAGGGGGTGATATTCTTTCCTTTTTAGCTCTAAAATTCTACGATCATGTTTTTGTCATTAAAGGATGAGTCCCAGACACATGGCAAGAGGCAGAATGATAAACTAGAAGAGCATGATGTGAATAAGAATTGAGGTATAGGGATGAGAATAAGAGATGGAGGAGAGGAGGCAGAAGCAGTGACGAAGGTTAGGTACATGAAATCAGCCGTAAGGCCAAGTAACTAGACTGAAGTGATAAGAGAAGCCAGTCACAAAACAAAGCAATATGTGGTTAACTGAAGAAGAAGAATTCATCTTTATTTGGTGTTTTAATGTTTACAAAACAACCCTCCTGTGGTGTTAAGTGCTATTATTTTATTTTACAGATGAGGAAAACTAAAGTGCAGAGAACTTAAATAATTTCCCCAAGGCCATATGGCTAGTAGGTAACAAACCCAGATCTCCTGGCTCACAGTCATTCACCCCACGATACCAACCAACCCAGGAAAATAATACAGGAAAAATACAGAACAGATTGAAATACAAAAATGAAAAACAAGAGAGGGAAGAGGGGGATCCAACAGACGAGAAACTGTGATTGCTATTTAGAAAAAAAAACAGTATGAATTCAGATCCAGAGAAAGAATATATTTTATACAAATTGAGAAAACAGAATGAAAAATGAATCAAGGACAGGAGGGGTATGAAAGATACAATACTGTGAAGGACTTTTCATTCCTCACTGCACTGGTTACACTGAAGGGCCTTCAAGAGGCCACATTATTGAGTACTTACCCTTTTCCCCTGAAGAGCCCTTCCTCATTCTTAATCGTTGTCTTCTTCATCTCACTTCAGTCTGAACTATTCTCAGAGTAGGATGCACAAGAGCATTTTTCTCTAGCACCTTCTCAGGCCCCCCAAATTTTTTTACAATGCCCTTTGCTCCCCTCTGTCAAAGGCCCACCCTGTATATTCAAATGACTCATGGACATCCTGTTTTGGGCCCAAGGCCAGATGGGAACTGGAAGACGCAAGAGAGGTGCCAATTTTTGGCTTTCCTAAGGGGCACTGTTTGGTCTAAAGCCAATTTTAGTCCATTCCCCTTTCCTGGTTCTGCACAAAGCCAACTGGTCACAGAACAATGCTTGTAGCAACAAACAGAGGTAACCAAGACCGAAAGCCTAATGAGTATTTTGTTCTCTAGAGCGAAGCAGACCCTTCATCTTCAATTTTATGTCCTCTCCTCTAAAATGGGGACTGAAGTAGGAGTCATGAGGCTCAGATCCTTCTCCCGAATCTGTTACTCATTGGTTACATAAGCTCACATGGGTTATTTTCTCCAATAAGATTATATCTTGGGGACCTGTTTTCTTGCCTGGAAGACAAGACAGTTCCCTCAGAATGGACCTTCCCCTCCCACACACAGACACACATATAAATGCACACAGAGAATCAGAGGGTCATAAAGTAAGGCCCTTACTGTCTTTATTGGTTTTTTTAAAGCAAATGTGATATTTATCTAGCTCTGCAACAAATGACAAATTCGAGTGATCAAATCCAGTGGTCACAGGGTTTGATAATAATATTCAAGAAACTTTTCTTGGCACAGAAACTGCGTTAAGTATCTGTCTCTAATGGCCATAAACTCTTCTGGCAAACAATCTTTTTCCACAGTGAAACTAATAAAAAAAAATTGCAAGACAGAAGAAAAATACACCATATACTGCTATAATGAGTACTAAAGTGAGCATCTTTTTATATCTGCGTAAACATTCTTGAAAGATGATACAGGAGGTTCATAATGCACTGCTTTAATATAAATGTTATAAGTGCACGCTCTTTCTCTGTTCCTTAGATGACAATTCCATGTAGAAAAACAAAAGGGAGCCTTCAGCTTAAAAAAGAAAAAAAGGCTGCCCAGGATCCCACTGGGGATTAACATGACTCTAAAAGGGGCCACATGTACTGTATCATGTTAATCAATCAACACATAACTTAGTGAGCACTTATTCTGTACAATGAGTATTATATTATCAGGGGAACTGGGTTCAAATCCTGTTTGTGCCATTTACTATTTGCACGTCAAGTCATTAAACCTCCTCAGACCTCAATTCCCTCATATGTAAAAGAGGGAATTTTACTACATGAGCTCTGATGTCCCTTCCAACTCTAGGTAGACGATTATACAATCCTATGATTGCTATGAAAACAGGGAGTCCTGAGTAAAGATCAATTGACTAAATGGTATAGCCCCAAGATATGTAAAAGAAATGTTATGTACCTCTCCATGTCAAAGGGACTTGTTAAAGATAAACATGGAAGTATTCTGAGCACTCTAGGTGAGAATGCCAGGTATCTGCAATAAGAATTTTTATGATTTTTCTATTTTCTTCTTGTTTTCATTTTTTCTTCCTTCCTTAGATCAAAGCTTTTGTGATTCTGGAAGTATTGCTGAGAAGAATAGACATCTTCTCTTGGAAGGTGGGAAACCAGAGGTCATGGAAAAAGAATTGGAATTCAGCATGGTTGGTGCCTGTGGAAGGAGAATAATGAAGGTGGTTCTTACATGTCCATGTTGACACTTTATCTGAACTCCATTAACAACCCTCAGGCCATCTCTAGACGGCCAACTGGCTTTGGAAAACACAAACTGAACACTAAAGACAGGATCAAGTACCCAGGAAAAAGGATCATTTTCATTTTTTTTAATGATGACCAACTCTACTGTACAGTGAAGTCTTCAATTAGACCAATTAAGGCACAATCTAAAGCACACAGGAGATTAAAGGCCTTTTTTATAGAAGAGCAGGTTTCCCCAAACAGTGCCCCAGAGCCCTGCAGAGGATGGAGTCAAAGGTCCTATTCTACTGCTCAATTACACCAGTGCTAAAAGAGAGAACTCTCACTTTCAGGATGTTATTCTACCTCAACTGTGCATCCAAGAGAAAAAATCTATTTGGGGAAAGGGTTGGAGAGGAAATCATGCCATGTGCCTCAGGGAAAAACAACACCTGTCTGTACCACTGTCTAACGTTGTTTTTTTTTTTCAAGCTCACAATTGACTCCATGCTTTCCCCTCATTTAAATGTGTGTCAGACTGTAGAAGGATAATAATCTCATCTAAAGACTAGAATAAAAGAGATTCAGACTTTTTCCCTTCTTTTTCCTTATCAAGAACTTAAGACCAACAGTTCTAAGTGTGGTCAGTAGACTTCTAAGAGGGGGGGATCCCCAAGAGCATTTCAGGGAGTCCACTAGATCAAAACTATTTTCATATTAATATTAAGATGTTATTTGTCTAATAAAATACTCCTCCTTTTTTCTAGCTACACATCCGTGTGAAGCTGAACTTTCTCCATAGACTTCATCCAAAACAACACTGCAACAGATTGAATGCAGAAGCAGATAGGAGAATCCATCTGTCTTTTATTAAGCCAAACATTAAAAAGATTTGCAAAAAAAATGTAGAACTGCCACTTGTTTTATTAATTTTTTTTGAAAAAATAAATTGTTTTCATAAAATATGTGACATGTTAACGTAGAATGGGTTTTTATTGTTATTTTAAATTAATATTTTAAAATCAAATAATTTTAATTTCTTATATGGTAAACATCAATATATGTAACCCACATAAAATTCTTTGGGGTCCTCAGTGATTTCTAAATAATATAAAGAGATGCTAAGACCAAAAAGTTTGAGAAATGTTGCAAAAGACAAAGATGACTAAGACAGGGTTCCTAACCTCAGTGAGACCAAATGCATCCAAAATCACCTTATGCTCTAGCTAAATAGTATAAGGGAGGTACCAAGTGCTTTAGGGGAAAAAAAAAACTAGGTCCTGAACTAGTTTCCTCCTCTGTAAAAATAATGAAAGGGCCATCTACTATCTTTCCAACTCTGAAATTCTAGGACTCTACCAGTACAAGATGAGAAATGTGAAAATGCAAGTATTATATATGACATGTTCCAGACCCCCAAAGAAGCAAGTAGGAAAGAATAATTCCCACGAAAGCACTGATAAGATGAAACCATGAATATATTTACCTGCAAAGTTAAAAAAAAAACACACAGCTAAACAAACAAAAAACCCCATGGTAGATCACCATATCAAAATAGAGAAACTCTGCAGGATCATTTCTCTGTAGTAGAGGTAACATGATCTGTGATTAAAACAAAAACAAAAACCTGCTGAGATGGCTTTCTGGGAGGGAGTAAAGGAAGAGATACAAGGGACAATTCACAAGAAAGGCCAATAAAAATTTTATTTTAAAAAAAGTCTGTCCAAGGAACCCCATCAGTACATATTGGTAGTCAAATAAAACAAGATCTTTTTGACATCAGAAGAAGCTAAATATGACCAACTTTATATGAACTATGACTCCCTAAGAAAATAACAATTTAGTTAACCTCTAGTCAAAAACGCTAATCTTTTATTAGAGAATAGATACATCTCCCTGCATCCACACTGACTACTTTGATTTCAGTGCTTTAAGGATCTGGGATCTTGTCCATGTAAATACTTTCTTCACCAGGAGAGATCACTGAACTTAGACTGGTCCTTAGAAAATAGAGACGGAATCTATCATACTAGCTGGGTTGTCTGTACTTTTAAACCTTTCCAGAGTGGGAGGGACTCCCAAAGCCTGCAAACTCAGCTAACCTTTGAGAATCTAGAGTCACTTCCATAGTTTTTTTTTTTAATGTTTACTTTTAACACTCATTTTTCAATCTGGATTTCCAAATTCTTACCCTTCAGCCCCTCCCTGACCCAAAGAGAAGGCAAGCAATATACATCATACATTTGAAGTCATACAAAATGTATTTCCATATTAATCATATTTCAAAAAAGAAAAAATAAGTTTAAAAAATATGCTTCAATCTGCACTCAGAGTTAATTAATTCTCTCTCTGGAGGTAGATAGTATTTTTCATCATGAGTCCTTTGGAATTTTCTTTAATCGTTGTATAAGTCTTTCACAGTTGATTATCATTATAATATCGCTATTACTCAGTATAATGGTTTCCTGGTTCTGCTCACTTCATTTTGCATTAGTTCATATACGTGTTCCTAGGTTTTTCTGAAACTATCCCATTTGTCATTTCTTTTTTTTTCTTTTTTCTTTTTTTTTTTTTTTAGGCAATTGGGGTTAAGTGACTTGCCCAGGGTTAAGTGTCCAGTGTTTGGTCTGAGGTCAGATTTGAATTCAGGTCCTCCTGACTTCAGGGGTGGTGCTCTATCCACCTAGCTGTGCCCCCATTTGTCATTTCTTATGGCAAAATTGTATTCCATCACAATCAAATATCACAACTTCTTCAATCATCTATTTTTTGTCATCATCAAAAGAACTGATATAAATATTTTTAAACAGATAAGCACTTTTCCTTTTTGCTTTGATTTCTTTGGGATACAGACCTAGTGATATTGCTGAGTCAAAGAGGATGAGCAGTTTTATAGCCCTTTGGGCATAGTTCTAAATTGTTCTTCAAAATGGTTAGACCACAGGCTTCCCATCTCCCCCGCCCACCTGACTAGCTGGAGTTATGGGTGTTGGATGCAGCGTCCTCCCTGAAGACCAGCGAGAATTGACACTATGCTTCGTAAAACCATCAACTGTAGTGATATCAAGCCTCAGCCTTGGTTTCAGCAGGGTGATATCAGTTACGTACAAAGGGCCCTGTTACTGCTGGATTATGCAAGTTACTTTCCCTGTTTCCTCTGAGATATGACTTAAATATCATTCAACTTGAATAACAAAGGAACTGATTTTTAGAAAGCAGAATGCCAAGAAAAAGGAAAAATCTTGGTGGAAGTCCTGTTAGGAAGTTTCTGAATACTGAGGATGTTGCATCCAATACTGCTCATCGTGAGGAGCTGACAACTCTTCCTACAGTACCATCCCAGCCAAGTGTCGCCAAAAAGAAACTCCTAAACAGCTTGTCAGAGATGTTTTCTGGCGTGGATGTTCATGTAGTTTATTTGATGCTTTCAGAATGTTATTTCAAAGTTCAAAATATTATGGATTGTTTCTTAAAACTGTCCACTGGTGCCAAAGGAATGCCAGCCTCTAAAAGTTTAATATTGGAGTCAATTTTGACACTACTTGCTTTTGGTACTCAGTATCTTGCTGAAGAAAACGAAATGAATGAAAAATGTCCTCATGCAGCAGAATGGTTAGACCAGTTCACAGCTCCACCAATAGTGTATTAGCGTACCTATTTTTCCATATACCCTCTAGCATTTGTCATTTTCCTTTTCTGGAATATTAGCCAATTTGATAGGTATGAGGTGGTACCTCAGAGTTGTTTTAACTTGCATTTCTTTGATTATTGGTCATTTAGAATATTTTTATATGATTTTGATATTTGCTTATGAAAACTGCTTGTTCATATGCTTTGACCATTTATCAACTGGGGAATGGCTCTTATTTTTATAAATTTGGCTCAATTCCCTATATATTTGAGAAATGAGACTTTTATCAAAGAAATTTGCTATAATGTTTCCCCAATTTCCCATTTTCCTTCTAATTTTGGCTACATTGGTTTTGTTTGTGCAAAATCTTTTTAATTTCATGTAATCAAAAGTATCCATTTTACTCCTTGTGATCCTTTTTAATCCCTTGTTTGGTCATAAACTCTTCCCTTATCCATAGATCTGACAGGCAATTTTTTTTCTATGCTCCCTTAATTTGCTTATATCACCATTTATGTCTAAATCATGTACCCACTTTGACCTTATTTTGGTATATGTATAGTGTGAGATGTTGGTCTATGCCTAATTTCTGCCAGATTGCTTTCCAGTTTTCTCAGTAGTTTTTGTTATGTAGTGAGTTATTGTTCCAAAAGCTTGGCTCTTTGGATTTATCAAACACTAGAATACTATGGTCATTACTTCTGTGTGTTGTGTACCTAATCTGTTCCACCAACCAACCACTCTATTTCTTATCCAGTACCCAATTGTTTTGATGATCACCTCTTTTTAAAAGAGTTTGAAATCTGGTACTGCTAGGCTGCCTTCTTTCACTTTTTTTTTCATAGATTCCCTTGATATTTTTGACCTTTTGCTCTTCCAGATGAGTTTTGTTATTATTTTTCCTAGATCTATAAAATAATTCTCTGGTAGTTTGATTGGTATGGCACCGAATAAGTAAAATAATTTAGGTAGAATAGTCATTTTTACTATATTGGCTCAGCTCACCCATAAGCAATTAATATTTCTCTAATTGCATAGACCTGTCTTTATTTGTGTGAAGTGTTTTGTAATTATGGACATATAGTTCCTGCGTATGTCTTGGCAAGTAGACTCCCAAATATTTTATACTGTCTGCAGTCTATGTCACTCCCTTACTCAAAAGTCTTCAATGGCTTCCTGTTGCATTTAGGATTGGAAAACGAACTTCTTCCTTTTACCAAATTATCTTACATTTCTCCCCTTTAAGTAACTTAGGTTCCTGACAAATAGGCCTACTTGCTGTTCTCGAAACTCAGAATTCCATCTCTTGCTTCTCCTTAGACTGTCCCTGATGGCAAAAGAAT